CTCTCTCATCTTTTTAAGTGGGAGAACTTGCACAATTGGTGGCTGACTAAATACTTTTTTGCCCCACTGTAATAGATGTTTATCAGGCATGGGTTTTCAAAAGTAACAATGAAGACTGTGTAGATATAAAGCCTATGTTACATCTGTTTTTGATGGTGTATGATGTGAAATGTGACTAGTCCCAAGGACTACAATTAAGTTTGAGGTAGTCCAATCTCTATATATAACTATTATCCCATTATTTCTGAGACAAATGTACTAAATTTAACTGTAGTAGTTCATGGAAAGGAGAACTACTGCTAAATCCTTAATTTTTCAGATATAATTTAATATAGATCTAAAGGTTCTTCTCTTCCAGGAATATAAGTACTTATTTATTATGGATATGAGGCACGCATATACCCCAAAGTCCTCTCTGGGTGCTACAGGTTTCAGTAAAAGGTCTGTTGAATTCATTGGATTATATAGATTGTTGTCTTTGCTCTAAATCTCATAGGAATACTCAGTTGAGTCCTCTGTAATTAACAAAAGATGTTTGAGAGGAGATAGTGACAAAGTATACTAAAATCTAGCAAAGAAAAGTATATTGAAATGTTTCTGTTATTGGTAAGATTTATATACGTACTGACTCTGACAGCCCTCTTCTTCATGCAGAAAAGAAAAGACAATAGGAGCGAGAAAACCCATGTTCTAGACTGGCCTTAGACACAGAAGCTAATAGGTGACCTTAGGCGACCCAGTCACTCTCTCTCAGCCTTAGTGGAAAAACTTCCCAGAAGAAGACAATGGCAAACCACTTCAGTAATGTTGCCAGAGACAATTATATGGACCTGTCGATAAATCATCAGGAGTCAGGATTGAAACAAAGGCACCAAATAAAACAAAACATTTGTCTTATCAATATGACTTGGATTGTATCAGTTTTTTAAAACATAAAACAATAGATATTTAGTTTATTGTAAGAATACATTATATTAACTTTATTGAATTAATATGTGCTTTTCTCTGTCTTTCAAAGTTTTATTGAAACTTAATATGGTTTTTATTGTGTTACAGGTGCCAGTGAAAGTGTAGGCAAGCATATGCTTGAAGCATGCAACAATAATCTCGAAATGGCTGTCACTATGTTCCTCGATGGTGGAGGAATTGCTGAAGAACCCAGCACTAGTTCTGCAAGTGTATCAAACCTGCGACCACATACAGAGTATGTAGTTTTGTAAATAGGATGAATAGTTATCTTTGAAATTTGTACATATAGTTCAGATATTTTTGCTTTTAAGTTCTTAGTTTTTCTTATTTAGCTGCTTCCATTCTATTGTTACTGTAGGCATCTATTTAATCATCAATACTTTTAAATCAAAGCTCCTGTATTACCACTACCAATTAACAAAATTAACAGAGAATAATGTAATTATTCTAACAAGATGATTCCGGCAACATCCTGCTAGTCTGATTCTTTTGAATTTCCAGAGACTGAGGAAGTAAATAAATCTGCAGCATAAGCTCTGCCATTCCCCACCTGCCTGATTTATGAGGTTAGGTGGGATGTGTGTGGCTGGTTCTGAGAGGCTGATAATGCTTTTCTGGGGAAAGGAGTGATGCCTTCAGTCTTGAAGGAAGCAGTGATGTGTCCCCTTCTAAAAAGACCATCTCTTGATCCAGCCATGTGATACAGCTACTGGCTGAATTCCAACCTTCCCTTCTCTTGTGAAGGTTTTGGAGAAGGTCCTAGGGCTTCAGTTTCAGAGGGTCTTAGAGGAAACAGATTTTATCTACTCTTTTTGGAGGTGGGGGTTAGCTTCAAATCAAGGCATGGAATATGAAATAAATTATTTATGTAATATTTTTATTAAATAAAAAATAAGACTTTACGGAATTGCTGGTAGAGTGCAAAACAAAAACTTAATAAGGGAATTGCAGTCTATTATAATTTTTCTTTCTTCCTGATAATTTGTGTTTGTGTTTGATTTATTTATGATTTTATGTATTTTTCCCCTGCCACAAATGCTAATGTTGAAAATAAACCTTTAATGCCATTGCAGCTGATTGTAGCTCATCTGTATTTTGTATAATAACATTACAATATTCCATTTGCCCAGTATTTCCACTCCCATTTAGAAGTGATACTTTGTCTCCTTTTTTTGGATTATTTGGTTTCCACAACACCTCTCCTCCCTCATTTGTTCTATCAAACAACATGCAAGTGCATAGCACCTGCATATATTGTTAGATACAAGAATGGCTCTCACAGCCAGTCTAGAAGCACTGGAAAATTGTTTTAGTTCAGAACTGCAGGAATGAAGCTGAGACCCCTGGAATTCCCAACAATTGCTTGCTGCTCATTGACAAAGACCCATTTGGAATTACTGCTGGTTTATCTGCTTTCTAGTAAATACTGGTTTAATCTAAGAACTGATTTTAACATTTTGCAAGTAAATGTACGTAGGTTGATTCTTCCCTTACCTTTTTAGAAGTTCTTCAGTTTTATTAAGAATAAAGTGTGCAAACATGTCAGGAAATTTTATCTTGTTCATGATGTAAAATGGTAAAAACTAGGACATTTGAACACTTTTTCCTTTTGTGTAATCACAAGAACAATTTTCATGCATTCTTTCTTTTCTTGTTCTCCGTAATAGTTGTGAATGCATGATGATTTTTTGGCTGATGTAGTCTTATTAAATAATGTTTGATTTGAAAGGAAGAGGCTTGAGAAATGCTGAGGCATCTATGTCTAGTTCTTTGGTTAGTATGTAGATTAAATAAATAATACATTATTATTAAAATTTCCATTAGTTCCCATTTGGGTCTAATTGGTCTTCTTTCTGATGTGAAAAAATCAGTAACAGTTCATTTTCTATAAGAAAAGATGAGATAAAAATAAATATGCAACTTATGTCTCAGAACTCAGTCTCAGGAGGCATTTCATAATGCTATTAATAATATTTAATAATAAAATAAATATTACAGTTATGCATAAAAGATACTGAACATCTGGAAATCAACTAAATTTGTTTCAGAATGCTGAATTCCTTAAGATATATACAGGCATGTATAAATATTACTAGTGTTCAGAATCCTTATTTTATTTGGGTTAGATGCTGTCTAGTCCATCTTGTAAACTTTATATGAGTTGCTGTGTAAGGATCTGTTTTAAGGAATAAAGCTCTGCTGACAGACTGCCTGTATTATATGTCTTCAGTTTCTATACAGAATCCATTTATGTGTGCTAGAGAACATCTGTATTTTGTTTTCTACCAGGAATTCCAGTAGGGTAGTTTATACCAAAAGAGCAACACTTGACATGCTGTATTGCATGAATTCAGCTATAGGTATAAAGAATAAATTTTCCTCTTGCCCAAATAATACTGCCGAAATAATACTGACATTTTCAAGCAATTATGTGTTTTTGTCCTTGTAGAGATGAAGTGAGGGCACCAATTCCTCAAAAACAAGAAATTCTGGTAGAACCAGAACCCTTATTTGGTGGTAAGTTTCTTTTTTATATTTATATTTGATCTTCAAAGAATGAACAGAAACGTTGCCAAAATTCCTCCGTTGCCATTATTCACTGTCCTTACAATGGGATCAGGGATCTTATAGTACTGAGGAATATGCGTAACAGGCAACTTTTCTTAATTAGTACCCTGCTAATATATTTTAATATATCATATATTCTGCTATTATTTTTTTACTAGTTCATTTCTGTTACTGCTTTTATTTTGTAAATAAGGAACTGAGGCAGAGGAGTTTTAATATCACTACAGTAGTAATTTCTAGTAACATTGTGTTTAATAGGCTTTCTATTTCTGTTTAGTTATGTAAAGTAATTTTTAATCTGGATGCCCTCAAAGTATGGTAAATTAGCCCTGGTACATTTGGGAGTCTTCCTGTTTATTATCATAAGCGGCTCTTGGACTTATGTTTAAAAATTGTCTCTGACCATGCTGCAGGATTCAATCTACAGAGGGACATTATGACCAGATAAAGCAGCATATTATACCTTGATGCAGCCAGACACAAAATAACATGTCAGAATGGAAGGGATTTTATAGTTATAGCTGTTTTTAGCATCTATTTCTTGATATGTATAGCCTATAGCATATGCTGTGCTCTGTCAGTACGGAAAGCATGGGGATAAAAAGCCTTTTCTGTGCTGGCGTCTTTCCACCAGAGTGAGTAGGAAAGAGTCACACATCCTTGGGATATTCTTTTCAGGACTGCATGGTAATAGCAAATTGGAACAGAATCATTACACATTCTTCTTTCTCAAAATTATCACAAATTCATTATGCCTCGTTCACTCATGCTCACTATTGGTTATCTTTACACATATTTCCTCCACCATCACCACTCTTAATTACATATACAGGGTTTTGTTTGTTTGTTTGGGTTTTTTTGAGGAGCTCTGTCTTCCATAGCAAACAATTAGGCCATAACAGAGCCTCTATGCAGTCATTTAACAATTGCCACAGAATGAGCCTAAGAGTAAAGAAATGTAATACTATACCTTTGTATCTCTTTATTGCAGTTATTTATAGCATTTCTCTGAGGAGGCAGTGCTGCCAAGCAAGCTTACTATCAGTATAAACGATAGTAAATAAAAAATATAAGAAATGGCATTTTTTAAAAAATGAGGCTTGGTCTCAGGCTGTTGAAGGTAAATCTCAGGTCTGTCTGCAGTAAGGCCATGTATATTCACAGTTTGGTAACAGACAAGCAAACAAATCCAGCATGCATTACCAAGATCTGCTTGGGCAAAGAGAGTGATGTCACCTTCTCAGAGACTTGCTTGCCCGAGTTTTGGGCCTTGTAGCAGGCTCAATGCTAAGGCTGAGGAAGGAATTGATCCTAAAGGACATTCTTCGTGTAAAAATGGGTTCTGATCCTGAGGTACCAGTAAGAGTGCCAGTTTGTTAGCTGGCCATAGAGACAAACTAGGGATCCTGCTACTGTACCAGTCTCCCTGGTGGCTGGTGATCTCTTCCCAACCCTGGCCACCTGAACTTGCAGAAGATGCAGTTGGTCCATATGTCAGCCCTCCCAGGTAAACCAGACAGAAAACATGACTAGATTAGCTCATTCTACTTTATTGTAAGGCTACATTAACAGAATCTTGCAAGTCTGAAAGTACAAATCTCCTTCCCTCCCTATTTACTGCCTGAGTAGTTAGGGCCGGTCCTTCATAAGTTTCTTTTTCTGGCTGTTACTCTGTTGTGGACTCATTTCTCTTTTATCTGATTGTTCCCTAGGTGGCATTTCTCTCCCCTCCCCCAAGGAGGGGGAGTTCCAAGGTCACCCTCACATTCTATCACACCATAAGAGGAGATGACCTCCTTTGTCCTGTAACAGCACAACTGATTTCCCCCACTGTATATCTTTTGACCCATCACAGTTGAGCTACAAATAAGGTCCGCTACTGTCTAATCACTAACCTTCAGTAACATCTGCAACATCCACATACTAACCAAGCCCATTGGTCAGCAATATGGCACTGCCATTACAAGCAGTCTTCCTTCAATCCCCAATTTGCAACCACCTCCCACCTTTCCACCACCAATTCCAGCCCATAGGGCTTCCCACAACTGAGCACATTCTCACAATGCCCAGCAGCAGAGCAGTCCTGCACCCATTCTTGCATGATAGCTAGGAGCCTCTCTGCTGCCAATCCTGTCTCCCACCTGGGGATAGCTTTGCTGAGAGTCCAGAGCCCACCCAACAGGAGTTATTTCTGTTTTAGGTGGCATAATGATGAATCTTCAAGACTCTCTTCATTGCCAGACTCCCCCATCCCCGAAATTGGTCAGCAATGAATCCAAGGCCTTTTATAAAGCCAAGCCTCTCTAGTCTCCTTTTCTCCAGTCCTGGTCTCCTTAACATGCCTTATTGGTCTTTATTCCTCTGTCCCACCCCAATTGCAACCATGTAGCAGTCCCTCTTGCATCTTCTGGACCACCAAGGTAGAAGAATTGGCAGTGATTTCCACCTCTGGCTCCCCATTTACCCTCTATAAGCTCTAGGTACATTCTTGTGGCTGCTGTTCTTCTTTTACCCTGGGAATGACTCTGAAATTCCAAGGATGGCCACATCCTTTGTTTTCTCTAGGAACAGTAACTTCACAACAACACACACAGTCCTTCACTGTGCCAGACAGACTTGACTTTTGGATGAGGCCATCATGAATCTGTGTCTCAGTCCACCATCTTGCTCCAAATCCAGAAGATCAGTCAAATGGTTATGGGAGCCACAACATTGGACATACAGCTCAGTGCAGCAACTCCAGTGTGCAATCTGCTTACCAGGCTCCAGGCATTCTTTTGGCTCAACTCAGAAACAGCTTCCAGCTAGACCAAATCTTCCATCCAGGCAACAGGATACCAGCATCCAAACGAATTGGTCTCCATTGCTGCTTCTCTCTCCATACTGTCCTTTTCCACCATATAACTATCCATCCTAATTGTCTTTACGCTATCTTTCTGCATCTTACATTAATACTGGTTGAGAATGATGGGAGTTGTATTGCTACACATATTGCTTATCCATCAGACAAGAGTCTGAAAGATGATTAATCTGTCACATCTTTAAAATAAGGGACTTTCCTTACCCTGTTCTTCACTTGTATTTAAAGAAGAAATAAAATCCATTGGGGTTTGTTTTGTAAGTGGTCCAATGAGTGGTGAAAAACACTACAGCTTCAAAACACTTCAGCTGCAAAACACTTCAGCTGCAAAAATCTTGTAAGAGACTAGTTAAGAACACAGTTTTTTTGTCTTGCCAACCAGCCAAAATGTCTATTTTATATCCATTTCTATCTGTGGTATGGTCTCACCATGGATTTCTATATAAGCAGTAGTATGTTGGCTATTCATTTCCTTCCTTATCATTCCAGACATGGAGGTTGCCATTTTTATAGCAGCTACTATCTAGATGTTTTCATAGAACTATCCTTCATGACTCCATGGTCTCTTTTCTAATTAGTCACTGCCGTAGGTGACTCCATAATGGCAACCTCCATAGGTAGAGTTTGTATTTTTTGTGCCAGAATGCACCTCTTTGCATTTTCTCATTGTGAGCCACATTTAACATAAATATTCAACCAGTTTGGAGAGATTCACGTGAGGCTCTTCACGATCCCACTGTTTTCACCAGCCTGATTAGTTTGGTATTATAAGCAAACTTGGCTACCTTCCTGTTTGCCTCTAACTCCTGATTGTCTATAAATAAATGTAAACATACTCTACCAAAGCTGATTCCTGTGGGATCCCATTGAATATCTGTCTGATTTGAAAATTGCCCATTTAGTTCAACTATTTCCTATTCTTTGGCCAGTTTCCAGTTTACTCAAGATTCATTGGTGAAGAACATTATTAGGGAGTTTTGAAAAGTCCAAATAGATAGTATCAGCTGGATCATTCTTGTGTAGTTTGAAAGAGCCAAACTCTGGAATATCTCCCCCTTCTTTAAGGTAGTCCTTGACTTACAACTATTTGTTCAGCGACTGTTTGAAGTTCCAACAATGCTGAAAAAGAAGACTTATGACCAGTTCTCAGAGTTACAGCTATACCACCACCCCTGTGGTCATGTGATTGCGATCTGGGCGCTTGGCAACCTGCTCATGCTTACAACTGGTTGCCAAGCACCCTGTGATCACATGATTGCCATTTGCAACCTTCCCTGCCAGCTTCCCCAGAAAGTCAGCGGGAAAGCTGACAGGGAAGGTCACAAGTCGATAGGGTAAGCTTCCCCGTGCAGCACCTCTCGCGTACTCTCCCTGACCTACACAACTCTCAAGCACCCTTCCATGCACCCCAAAGCTCCCACTCACTCGCCCCCCCGGCAGTAGCCACTTACCTACTGCCAGCCTGGGACTGGCAACTTCCTGTCGGCTTCCCCACTGACTTTGGTTGTAGGAAGCCGGCAGGAACTTGCCTCGCCTAATGACCGTGGGATTCAGTTAACGATGGCAACTAGGACTGCAAGGATTGCTGTTATTAAGCAATGCAGTTGCACTTTACGACGGTATTGCTTAGTGATGGAAATTCTGGTCCCAGTTGTCATAAGTCGAGGACTACCTGTATGCCAATGTGTCTCTACAGTTCATTTTTCCAAAGTCAGATACCTATCTTTTGAATACATACTATAAAGTTCCAGTGGCATTAATGGGATTTATTTCTGAATCAAACATGGATAAAATTAAATGGCTGGTGAGCCATGTAGCCATACACACATTTAGAATGTAAAACCTGTTCGTATCTACAAGGGCAAGTGGGTTGAGATGAAGAAATATTTCTGTGGCCACATCTGGGGAGGCTATAATAGATTTTCTTTCAAATTTAATGTGACTATCAAATAGGTATTTTTTCTGTGATGTTGACTATTTTTCTAGGGTTAGTATGTGTCAGTAAGCAAGTTACAACAGCAGTAAAATAAAGCATGTCTGCCATTGATATAGTAGTGAATTGTATAACAGCCTCAAGATTTGTTCTCAGGCTCTTCTATTTGACCACTTTGAATCTGTCCTAGACTGTATGATAACTGTAACCTGTTTGCTACTGCAGCTTTTCCACCTGGAATGTTCCTGCAACAAAGGCTCTAGAAGTGCACTCCTGCACTGCCTTGGAGTAGATGATGTCCAAATCCCTCCTAACCCTTATGTTCTGTGATTCAAAAGGAACAGTCGTTCCACTGAGAAATTCAAGCAGGATTGCTTTGGGTGGTACTGGCTAGTGGGGTAGAACAGAACAAAAGCATTCATGGGCCAGATGGTATGTTCTATAAGTCATATTTGCTTCACAGACCAGCAGTTCTCCATACCTTCCTTATGTTCATGTGACCTGAACATTGCAGACTTTTGTAACAATTGGTTTATTTTAATTGGCCTTTAATTGTTTTAACTTTGGCTCATCATTGTATTGTATTATCCTGATGGATATTGCTGCTCCAGCCTTTCTTATTTTATGCTTTTTTGAACTGGGGGTAGGGTGGGGAGCAATTTTTATTTATTTTGAGTCCATAAGCTGCCTCAGAAGCATTGAGATGGAATAGCAACCTGTAAATATTTTATGTTCAAATATACATCAAGATACACATACAGGAACTGGAAACATAAGAACTAATGAGTTCATGTATGAAACAAATTAGCATAATGCATTATTGGTGACCTGGAATTTGTATACATCTTTGAGTATGGGTCTGTATTCCAAATCCACAATGTCGCCGTATTATAAGATTTTATTACTAATCTGTTTATTAAATTCTGTTTCTATTAAGCACCAAAAAGACGCAGACCAGCTCGTTCGATATTTGATGGCTTTCGGGATTTCCAGACAGAAACTAGTAGGTATCTGTGGATAATTATATTCACATAACTCTGGTTTCTTTTAATGGTTTGTGTCCAAGGATAAGATTATAGGCCCCTTAGAATTTTTAGTAATGGCTCTACAGTAGAGTTCAAACAAATGCAAGGAAAATAAAATTTTAAAAAGCCCATCTTCACACAGTAAATGCTTTATATTTCCATATGTGCAAGACATTGCTTTCTAAAGAAGTTATAATTTTGAAGTAAGAATAGTCTCCATATCAGCATAGGAAAATGTAGGTGCAGTCAGAGAAATCCAAGTTACATATCGTTGGATTCCAGGAATTAAAGGCTAGACTGGTAAGTATTAAAAAAAAAAAAAGAAGAAAGACAAGGCAGCAGTGGCAAGCCCCTTCAATTTTACTGCCAAGAAAACTGAATGGATGCAGTCTCCAGATACTGAGCTCCTCCTCCTTACCTTTAGTTTTTATTATGACTGGGATTTGAGAATCAGTTTAATTGCAGTAACTAACTTATTTATGGTATTGTAAGGCTCCACAATTGGGATTCTTATGAGAGTCATTTCTCAGATTGATAAAAGGGCTGGAGTTACAGATGCATAGTCCCATCTTTACAAAAAGCAACATGCTTCCAGCTTCCTTTCCATCTACTTTCATTGTAACAGCACAAGTGTATGAGCATTGGGTTTGCTGCCATAAAATATCTACATATAAGGGCCTTGTTTGAAAATAAACCACTCACCAATAAATATTGCTAACCAGAACTTGAAAGACTAACTACTTGGTTTAGCTATTTCCAGACAGAAATCTGACACACATCCCTTTACCAGTAATAATCCTCTCCAGTTGCTGCAAATCCCCCATGAATCAAAGAATAATATGAATGCCTTTTGCTTCTTTCATCTGAAGCACTTTCACAAGCTAATAAACCAAACCACAATTTGACCTTTATATCACATTCTCAGTTGGGGCCTTGTATTAAATATTAATGAACTAGAATAAGCTAGGTGTGCAATTAATGCCTAGTGATTTTATATACTATATGCATATTGTACTCTTTTCCAACATCTGTACCAAAGGGGGAAAAAAACCCTGTTCATTTTTTAATTACAGCATATCTTGCATTATTGACTGTTGGGTGTTTAAGCAAAAAAATTTCCTGGTCAAAATATCAATTCTAATACTTTTGGAGGAATTAAAATCTCTTATAGTTTGGGAGATGATAGGGAGTTTTGTGTTTCTGTCACTTCTGAGTATCACTGCGAATTCAATTCAGTAATGACCAGAATCTTTAATCCAATTCTTTCAAAGGGTTCCTTACATTGATGTGAGCACGTTTATATGTAATTATGAATAACTTTGGAATCAATTTGGCTAATTTTATTTAAATTATGAGATTCTGTATAATTTTACAATCAACAATTTCTGCTATATGCAAGAAGACATTCGTTTTCTAATAAACAATTTGAATGTTGAGTGAAAACATTTACCCCACTTCATTAATACAGAAGATGTATGTCTCAAATTCAATGTAAAGGAAGAATTATCAAGTCATCAACTATTCCATGCATATAAAGAGGTTATGCCTGTGAAAAATTGTTTTTGTTTATTTAATCTTTTTTTTTTGGCATTCAACCATATACATAGTAACGTTGTGTAACTTTATATTCGCAAACTGATTTCTATGGTTTCTCTGTAGCAGTATTTTTAATTGTTTAATAGTATTAGCAAAATAACTCCTAAATGTAAACTCTTTGAGTTTAAGAAGTGATGCCAGCTTTGGCATGAGAACTACAGAAAAGGAAGCTTTTAACTGTAAGCAAATTATAGTTGTCCCATTGCTATTCCTTTTAAATGATTCTGATATCCAGTCTCCATACTAGGTTATGATAAAAAGCAGATTCTAATGGAATCTGAATCTGAACAAGCAGTTGCAAAAATGCAAATGTTTGTTTTGCATTGCAGTTTTTGTTTTGGTCTGCCCTATACCTTTTTCCTTTAAAAATGAAGTAATTTACATTTCCCAATCATGAATTGACTTTCACAGAATTAAACATTCAGGATAAATGAAAAAGGACACATTTATGACAGTATTAAGTAATGGAAGGAATAAATAGTACTAATGCATTTTGGATAATACAGCAAGTCCACAATTAATGAATCATTACAGTACGAAATATAATGTACAGTCATAGTTGTGGTATGATATTAGGTAACCTTGTAACGAGGGAGTATTTATAGTGAAAGGAAAGCAGTAGAACAATTGCAACTAGGTTAGACTTCAACTTACATATAGATAAAAGGAGTAGATAAAGAATGGCAAGAATTGGATGAAAGGATTAAAAACTACATACCAGAGAAATTTTCTGTTCCTACCTCACTTTTTGGAAACCAAGAATTTAATTATTAAAAAGAGCTGGTTGATGTCATATTTAATAACACATTGCTTTGATACTAAAGGAGGGGGACAAAAAAGTCTGCCAGTAGGCCAAAAACTATAATTCTGTAATATTTAAATGATACATTTAGGAACAGAATATCTGTTGCTGGGCAAGATGATGATGATGATGATGATGATGATGGTGATTTTACCCCACCTTTTTTGTATATAGTTTAAGGTAGCAAACATACGTAATACTCTTGCCTCCTATTTTACCCACAACAATCCTGTGAGGTAGGTTGGGCTGAGAGAGTGACTGGCCCAAAGTCACCAAGCCGGCTTTCATGCCTAAAATATATAAACATGTGATGGCTATTACTAAAAGATATTTAGTAGAAAGCTGTTTTAGGCTATTCACATTAGGAATGTACTTTGTAGTTGATGAAAGTAACTGAGCCTGCTCTTGTGAACATTTTGTCTTCCTCCTTTGTTTTTCTTTTGGGGCTGTACAGTTCGGCAGGAGCAAGAATTGAGAAATGGAGGAGCCATAGATAAGAAGCTCACCACCCTTGCAGATCTCTTCAGGCCTCCAATTGATCTGATGCATAAAGGAAGCTTTGAAACAGTAGGTCATTTTGATGCATTGGGCTCTGGATTGGCTTTGGTATAGCCATGCATGTATATGTGTAAACTGTGTCATGATAATGTGTATAAACAATTCCAGCAATCCGCATTTTTATTACTTCAACATAAGATGTTGCTTCTAATTAATAAAATCATTTAAGGAAGTAGCTTCTTGACTATATTCATTTGTCCATTGCTGTGTTCCCCCATTAAGAAGTATTCAAGTAGAAGCTAGTGATTAAGAAATAGATGTGTATAATATGAATTAAATGAAGATGTTCTAATGACAAGCTGTATACATAAAGTAAGGATTGTTCTTTTTCTGCAATGGGTTTAAAAATCTTTCATCAATCATTTGCTTTAATACGTTTGTAGGAAGAATTACATTCAATACCATATAATGTGCCTGGTTGCATTCTTTACACTGAAAATTGGGAAAGTCTCTAGTAGGACATGGTTGAGAAAGATTTTTGCTGGAAATCTTGGAGAAAAGTATGGCCAAAGTAAGCAGTAGTGGACTAGAATAGCCAATGATCTGTATAATGATCAGCATAGAACAGAATCTTGAATCTTTGTTCTATGTTTAGTATTTGGTTAGTGAACTTGGAACTGCAGCTATGGACTTTGCTAATTGAAGAAGGTTAATAGTTTGCTAAATAACTAATACTTTTTAAACCATTCTTTATATTTCTTGGTGTTAATATATGCTAAATGAACCTGTTGAAAAAAATTAAAAACTTCTGGAGTAGAGTTTGCAGAAAAGATCAAGACAGAAATATCTGTTTCCCCACCCCCAACTCCTTGCAACAGTTTTCTTGTTGCAGCAATAGGAAAATGGAAATAAATTTATTCAGAAGTAATAAATTTTGTACAGCATTTATATGTGAAAATAATATCAGGCTTATTTTTATATCTTTTATTTTCTATATTTCATTTGAAGTCACTTTTCCTATCAAGACTTGGCTGATTGTCCTTGACACAGTATATTATTTGCCTGTAAGCATATCCTAAGTCCACAGTGGAGCTGGTTTCTTCCTCAGTATTTTTCAATGAAGTATTAGAAAAATCCAGATCTCTCTCACTTACCTCTTTGTTAGTTTTTTTTTTCTAAGTAAACATTTATCTATATTTTTATAAGTTCATCAGGCTCACATTCCTCAAAAATTTCTTTAACTAATTCTACTGAGCTTTAATTAAAATGTTTCTACTCTGCATTATCTTTAGTTTTAATATATTTTATCACCTTCTTAGTTTTTAGTGCCGTAAGGCATAATCATTTTTGTTCTTCGTTTTATATAAGAACATGGGGTTTTAGTTCACATAAGCACAGTATTTTCAATCTGTTTACTTCATGAGTTGAGTTTTCCTAGAATGGAATTGACCATATATTTAAGAAGCTGTTTTCTTTATTTAAAAATATGCAGTCTTTAACAATTTTGTAACTTACCATTAAACAAGTTAGATATAGGAACTTACCAAAATGGACCTTCTTCTCCACATACACGCATACATCCATACCCATCACTCTGTTCCCTTTCAGATTATGCAAAGTGCAGAAGAAAAGTAGAGAGTAGTAAACAAAATAGCAGGAGGTAAGCGAAAAGGGAAGGAATCTTTACACCAGCACCATTCACTATACCTCCTCATAACTTTCTATCCTTGCAAACTGTCCTAGCTTCCACCTCATCTGTGCACAGATTAACACATTCCCTTTTTAGTCTTCCCTTTCCTCTCAAACCATTCACTCTTCATTATTTGTTCTGTAGTTTGTCTAGAAAAATAATACATTAGTGCATACAAGAAGTTGTATTTTTACAGACATTCCCTTCTCTAACAAAAAGCTTCTCACACAGGTGGACAATGATCATATGGAGAGTTTTCTGTATGTTAGAGTACGTGAACAATTTTGAGAAGCCATAAATTGTGGCTTAAGACCATAAAGGTCTTGTGTTCTTCTAGAGTCCAATCTGGTTTAAATATATGTCAGCAGTCACTACGCTAGTGTGCAGCTTATTAAGCTTCCAAGAATTTTTTCCAGGGCCAGGAGAACAGATTTTAAGCTTGGTCAATATAAATCTTTCATCATTGTTATCCTACATGTAATTAAAAGTTTAATTTGTGTGGAAATGTAACCATGTAAGAGTTTATTAAAAAATACACTCATGCCACACAATTTAGTTTGTTCTAACCAGTGTGAGAAAGAAGTAGTAGAATCCTCATTTGCCTTCTGAGTTCAACTAAAATATTTGAATTAAGCTATAAACTCCCAACTTGTAGATTTAATGCAGCTGTCAAGCTTCTCCATGTAGCCATCAGGATTTCAAACAAGGCCTTGTTCTAAAGGCTTCCTCACTTTCATGCACAGAGGAAAATGGGGACCACTCTGTGCCTTCCTGAATAGGAGGAGAGGAGTTATCATTTCCAACCTCAATCAGAACAAAGGAAAGATGTCTAGAGGGTGATGGGGGCAGAGCTTTGAGGGAGGGATTTCTCCCCTAAAGTCCTACCATATGATAAAATTCCATCCATTAAGTGTTTTTGTGTGGCAGGCAGCAAATTCAGTTCCCCACCCCTGCTATAAAGTTTTTATCGAAAAGAAAAACGTGTTGTATAATCATGCTCTTATTCTCTCCCCCCACCTCCAGTTTTCTTGAGTTAAGGACAAAAGTGGATATTTAAACATTTTGCTCTCCAACAGAAATGTAACTTGAATTTGATGGAGGCTGAAATTCTGCAATTACTATAGCATTATTGATATTTATTTATTATTGCTATTTATTACGCCTTCTGTTTTTTCTAAAAAGTATAAATTACATTTGACAGGTTTACACTTAGCTTTATGTATATAGTAAAGCAAGACTAGTAGAAATATATAAATAATATTGCAGTGCAGAAAAAAGGCAGATATAAAAGGCATTTGTTTTATTTAGTTTCCTTTTTCTGTGCAGCAAAAAATAGGACTATTGTAGCTGCCACACAGTCCCAGAAAAAGGCTGGGATTCAACTAAGGTTTATAATTTTAAGATAAGTCATGAAATTAAAGATAATTTTTAGTTAATATCATGTACATTTCTGAGATTTGCTAGATTTTATTATGGTTGTGTTATAACAATGCATTTATCATACATTTTAGTATTTAACTAAAGGAGAAGATCAGACCTTTTAAAATTATGGTGTTGGTTTACTCCAGTAATTGGTCAGTTGATTAACTTCCTAGATCAATACATTGTATTGTAATCCTGATGCAGTTATCTATTCTGATGCAATTCTCTTAAAATATTTTCTCAGATGTTCAAGTAGTTTCTTGCATGTTGGCATTTTAATTGTCATAGCAAAGTTATTAGTACCTTAAAATATGCATCTCTTAATATCCAATCCAGAACAAAATTACTGAGAAAAAATATTTCCATTTTAATTCAAGGAAAGAGTTTATTAACATATCTGTAAATATAGAATGGTCATCTTTCCATCACCAAAAAATAAGACAGATTAGGATACCAATTTGTATATATAATAGCACATTGCAATAATTACTAAAACTGTAATAAAAACACCTTAACTTTCACAGTGGTTTTTATTTAATTTATAGTATATCCTGCCATCTATAAATTCTATTTAAATGCTTAATTGGTTGTCAAAATTAAAAAAAAAATCTATATAAGTGACCCATTCAATAATTAAAATACTTTAAACAAAAGATTGTTAAACTAATAAATACTTGGTCTTTAACATCTCAAACTAAAAGATCAAGTATAAAACTGAAAACCCTACTTTCAAAATCCCAGACCATTTTTGTGCACATTTTTTCTGTGAGTGAAAGAAAGGATCTCATTGGTGCTTGGGTCTTGCAAAGGTATTACAGAATATAATTATAAAATAAAGTTTGAGCTGGGAGTGTACATACAATTTATACATATTGTAAATTTTTAAAAAACAAAATAATATATAAGATTATTATAAGATTATATAGATTTCATCTTTCAATCAAAGTGGCTATTCAAATTATCTTTTCTTCCAATAATAAATCAACCTATGTATATTTATTTGGCACTGAAATGTCTCCACTAGAATACTGTTTTAGTGGTTGACCTGAGAAAGCTGTTTTGTTGTAAAATACTGGTAAAAGCCGTGTCCTACATTGCTTTATTTCAATATAGGTGAGTGCTTCTATGTCCATTGTGTTGCTCATTCAGTGGCCAATGGATCAGATATTTCACTTTTAAAAAGTGAAATCTCATTTTCCAAGATGCAAAGTCAACAGGAGTACTCATGAATCTGTGTTTCCTTTCATAAGTAATTAAACTCATGAGTAAATTTCCTTTAAGGAAATCCCACACATTTTTCTCCTAGTTATTTAGGAAATATGAGCATTCCAATTTTTGATATAGCACTCTTTTTTTCAACAGGTATGACAATTCAGCGATCAGAATTACATTCTTGATCAAACTCCTACATTAACTTGCAACCAACCAATCAGGCAATGCCAGCTTTGAGACTCAAACCAGTAAGATCTCTTCCTGCAACTTCAAACCCTGCCACCTCCCCCACTTGCAATCTGGTCAACAAAAAGTTCACCAATAATACCAAAATATAACATATATGAATGAATGGTAAACTAGAGGAAATGAATAGTTGAACAACAAACTGCAAATCTATCAATAATCTTAATCCTAATCTGCCACAGTTTTGTCTGTTGAATCAGATAATATGCTTTGTAATCAGATCAATGCAACTCATTCCATATTTTCTTCTAAATGTTTTATTCATTTATTTCTCTTTTTTCAATCAGTTTTGGAATTAAAGTTTATTTTCCTAACTCTCTTGTCTTTGGCATGTTAACACTCACCAATTTGAGATTACCAATGTGTAATCTTGAATATGACAAGTTGACCTGCAGAGTCTTCTAACCCTGCACGCTGCTTGTCATGCTTGTTCACGTATTAAATTGTTGAGTCTTGATAGTACTTAACAAATGCAAAGAGGTTTTTATAAAAGCCTGGAACAATAAATAGAAGCCATCATTGCTGGCATTGTTTCTTGCAAACTCTTCTTTTTTGGCTAATGTTCTTAATGTTCTTTTTGTCTTCAGGCCAAGGAGTGTGGTCAAATGCAGAACAAGTGGCTCATGATTAATATTCAGAATGTGCAGGATTTTGCCTGTCAGTGTCTCAATCGTGATGTTTGGAGCAATGATGCTGTAAAAAATATTATCCGGGAACACTTCATTTTTTGGCAGGTATGAAGGCATTTTTTTCCTGCTTGGTTAAAAGATTAGAAACAGAGCCAATATTTGTTTGATATTTACTCCACCCTTACCTATATCATATTTTGTAGAGCTATATTAGCTAACTACATTATGCTTCAGAATCAGATTTGGTTGACAAATGCTAAGTTGCTTTAAGATTGAAATGTTTTTAAGCGTTTTAAAAGAACCTTCTTGGATATTGTATAGGTATACCATGACAGTGAGGAAGGACAAAGATATATACAATTCTACAAGTTGGGAGATTTCCCTTATGTGTCTATCCTGGACCCTAGGACAGGTAAGAAGAAGAAAACATTGCTGAAGGCATACTAGCTCAGAATCAAATTCTTATATATCACAATAAATAATCTTATCAGTTTAACAAGGGAAGGACTATCGTTTCCATGTTTGTCTGTGAGATTCCCAGAACTGGCTTATTAGACATAGTTCCAGTCTATATCAGATGAATCTGATCAGCTCTAATAGGTTTAGTGTTTACCTTTAGTGTTAAATTTAGTGTTCACATTTGCTTTGTCCATGTTATTTTAATATTGTGAGTTATTGTGATACTTAGGATTAAGAACTTAGTTATTCCTTTCTTGTGACTTGTTAACAATGCTGCTTGCTTCTGCAGAATCATTAAGAATTTAAAATAACATATGTGATGATATTGGTGATTTCAGTCACTGAAGTACAGTTTATTGCTATTTTTAACAGGGCAGAAACTAGTGGAATGGCATCAGTTAGATGTAACTTCTTTTTTGGACCAAGTGACTGGGTTCCTAGGTGAACATGGACAACTGGACGGACATTCTACCAGCCCTCCCCTGAAACGCACTCGCTCAGTAAGTATAATGACTGCAGCAGTATGTTTCTGACTCTTACAAGAAATCTTTATTTCATGCTAATGTTTCAGTATGTAAAAAAAAAATGCAGTGAAAAAAGGATATATTATACATTACCTTAGTAACAAAACTGTTATTGAAATAGAAGTATTTGGATCCTTTCTCTTCCCCTCTCACCTTTCTCAAAATATGTGTTTAAGGTCACTTTTCTTTTTCTTTTGTGTTATGGTTGCATTGATTAGGAGAGCTTAATTGATGCGAGTGAAGATAGCCAGTTGGAAGCTGCAATCAGAGCATCATTACAGGAAACACATTTTGACTCTGACCAAATCAAGCAGGAGAGCAGATCGGATGAAGAGTCTGAATCAGAGCTTTTCTCTGGAAGCGAGGAGTTTATTTCTGTTTGTGGTTCTGATGATGATGAGCCAGAAAATTCTGCCAAGTCGAGAAAATCTCCACACAAGGATTTGGGATGTAGGAAAGAGGAAGGCAGAAGACCTCAACCTGAACCAACATCAAGAACTGAGCCTGAGATAATAATAAACCACAGAGGACTATCTTGCATTGATTCAGGGGTGCTAGAAGAAACTGGAGCTAAGCCAGATGACTCACAGAAGGAACCGAATGTGAATGGTAAGTATGGCTCCTGACACATTAGCCAACTTCAGAAGTTTAGAAAAAGTCTCATCTAGACACATTTACTAAACAGTATTTATTTCTTTCCACTGCACTTAATAAATTGAGTGAACCTAAGCACTAAAAAAGTAGAAATCTGGCTAAGCAGCTCATAATCTACATGAGAGATAAAAAATGAATTGTTTTACAGAAATTGGTAAACTATAACTTCCAGCATCCTTTCCATTGGCAACATTAGCTGGACCTGCTGAGAACTGTAGTTTCACTGATGAAAAGAGCAATACACTAAACTGCTCAATCGATATATTATATATATCTTGATTAGTATAACAATCTGATAAAAGCATTGTACATGCTAAAATGTATAATTCCATGTAACTCTATTTGTAACCCTTCCATGAATCACAATTCAGCTGAAGGTCGTCCTTTATAAGGGAATACTGTTTTTTTTTTCATCTGCATAAATTCATATAATTCTTTCTTTGTCAGGACAGTATTATAATACAAAAACATTTTTTCAGCCATAATACATTTTTCAACCATAATACACTTATCAACCATGATACATTGCTAAATTATTGGGAGGAGGTATTATATCACTTAAATGTTGCAAGTTTAATTTTTTTATAATAATTTTATTAAAAATTACAGTTGCAACAATAAAAACTAATACAAACTAAAAAAAAATAAAAAAATAGAAGGCACAGAATACAAAAAAATAGAAAAGAAAGAAAAAATAAGAATATAGTAAAGAAAAAAAATAAGGAAATGACTTCCCCCTTCATCACAACAAGTATAAACAATTTTAGTAACCTTTTCTTAAAATACAACAAATGATCTCTTTTTCCCATATCCTATCCTTATCTGTAAACAAATCCTTAAACCCTCATCACTTTTGTCCTGATGCCAGCAAAAGTCTATTAAGGGTTACCAGAGATAGCAACATATCTATTTTAACCTTGATCAAATAAACCAACTTTATATTTTTTTTACTTTTAACAATTTTGATCTTTAGTCCCTTCAAATAATGTCCTAGAACTTGATTTCTTTCCATTTTTTCTGTCCCTTCTCACAAAATTCGTCAAAGCTTTAACAAGCCTCTTTTGTAAATCCAGTGTGGGAAGTTTTTCCAGGTCACTCTCTTGGTTTGTTATTTGTATATCCCTATTAATTATTAAGATATCAGTCAGTTTCTTTTGTATGTCCTGTGCAGCATCTTTTTTCATATCATTCTTGTAGCCTGTCATTTTTAAATCCACTGTCAGATCAGTCTCAATCTTGTCAGGTAAAACTTGTTCCTCTTGCATAATATCTTTTAAATACAGTCTATCTATGGAGGCAGACACTCTTAAAATTAACTTCTGGGTCCATTGTTCAGAAATATCCTTCAATATGTCCAGTGTTAAAATATTTTGCTCATTCTGTATTTGTAAGTCAAATTTAAATGTTCTTCTCCTTTAATTATAATCTTTAGTTCCTTCTAGTGTCCAACCTTCAAAGTCTTATTCTATCATTTTTTTTAAAAGAATTCAAAACAAAAGCATTTTCCTATGGGAAGGATTTTTATAATTAATTCCAAAATCTTATTCCAAATTTATCTGGGCCCTTAGTCAGTTTGTAACTTTCTACGATCAAAGTTTTAATCGCCTTTTTGCTGTTTGTTCCCAAAAATAAAAATGTAAGTCCTTAAACTTGTATTTAAAACGTATTTCACTAAGTGTGATGGAATGGAATTATGAAGGCCAAGCTCAGGGAGATAAACATTTTCTTAGCTTGCGAGAACCGCGTGGGAGGAACAAGAAGATGAGACTGGCACCTCCCTGAGGAATTCACACTGTT